TGTTGAAATTACATTGTTTGAATTTCTTTATAACCATTATCATTTTCAGATTAAGATTTCTAAGTGTTTAGCAGTTGGGGGCACCGAGGATATCATAGAGCTAATGTGCAGCTCATTAATAAATAAATGTTGAAGTTCCTGGCGAAAAATCACTAAGCACTTGGAAATTTAATGTGTGACAGAAGAATGATTAAGAGTAAAATGTGTTAATGGAGATCCTTTTTTTTGGTTTATTAGATGTAATGGATATTCCTTTTTTTGGAGGGATGATAGTTTTTTTCCATTTTCCTGACCTGGAGATGTACTTGTATGAAAAATGTACCTATTGTTTTGGGTCTTTCCTTGAGCATGTTATGTGTTTTTCCTTCTTTCTTAGAAGTTGAAAATCCGTAGTGGTCTTCTATTTATATGAACACATGCTTTGTGTTAATGTATTTAACTGTTTATTTATGCAGTACCACTTGCTAATGAATATTACGGTTTTAATGGGATGATGTCTTGTAACCATATTTTATGGTGGAACTAAAGAACCTAGCTTTGTTGCATATAATCTGTACATTTGTGGATATTAAAGGGCAAGGGCTCAAATTAACTTCATAAACAAGGAAGCAAACTACCTGATTTAACATGCATTTGAATTTGGTTTCTGATACTGCTGCATTAACATTCCTTGTGCAGGATGAAACAAATAGCCCACAAGACGGTTCATGATAGCAGTTAATGGACAATATGGTTGAAAAATAGGCTGTATTACAGAGTAAATAGCATTTTTTGGTGAATAGAGTTGTAACAAACATATTACAGGTTACTATAAATTTCTCCTCTGATCTTTGGTAGCACAGAAGTATTTTTTGACGTGCTGAAGTTTCAATCCTTTTTATTGATACTTTTTTCGCGAAACCTAGGGTTTCGAGGTTCCTTCAGTTTTTTCTTTCAATGGCTTCTAGCTCTCATAGAGGCGGTGATTTCTACGGTGCTGCTTCCTACAGATCCAGGTATCTATGAAAAACGGGAAAAAAGAATCGTCTTCTTAAGTTATAATTTGTTATGGTTCTAATTGCTTGCACAATTTGAATTGTTATAGAGAAGTGTTTGTGTAACAAAAAGTTACCAAAAGCATAACCTAATTAGGAGAAAATTAATAGAAATACATTTTTTTCATTTTTTGGGTTTATTTTTGAGAAATTGAGTTGTTTTCTTTCATTGTTTGATTGATCAGAGATGGATTGAGTACGAGGCAAGTAGGTGGTTCAGATGAGATACAGGTGCGGATTGATCCGATGCACGG